CCTATCCCTGTTGCTGTAAGATCGTTGTCCAGCTGCTCCGTCTTAACCGGAGGGGCTTTCTTCAGCCCCAGCCTTGGTTTCCTCAGAGGCATCTTCCCACCAGGCTTCTTGCCCAATTTCTTAGGCGGGGGAGGGGTCGCCTCACAGCCCTCCTCAGAGTAGTCAAACTCCAGCCTTACTGACTGACGGTTGGGGACGATGGGTTGCTCTTCAGGGTTTGTGATCGACTTTTCAAGAGGAGCTGGTGGACACGGCTCCACAGCAGATACAGAGGGACTCTCTGGAGGGGGGGCTATAGGAGCACACACAGGACCTTTACGACCAAGAACGGGGGAATTGGCAACCTTACTTCCTCCAGTATTGAATGGGTCAATGCTCTCAAAATTATCTGGATCCCATTTGTAGGAAGTAGTAGGGGGAATGGGGGATTCGTCTCTACCTGCTGGACTGCCCGGGAGAGGGGTCTCCTCCTGGCACAAAGGTAAGGCAGGGATAATAAGGCTCTCCTCTTGGCTCGTATGATTGGTCTCCTCCGGCAGAGGAGGTGGAGTCTCCACACGGTTCTTCCTGGTTCTGCGGAGGGTTCCTCCGGGGCTCGGGGTTGCAGACCCTCCCTCTGCTTCCTCCTGAGGCTGAAGAGGGCTGGCAGTACGAGGTGTTGCCCGGTTCTTGATCTCCGGGGTGCTGCTGGATGAGGCTGGCCTCGGACTCTCTGGGTTGGAGTTCTGCCTGAGAAGAGGCTTCTTCTTCAAAGACCCAGAACGGACTTTCTTGGGCCTGCGGAGCGTCCCTGGTGCGCTCTCGGTACCTACGCTAAAGGATTCAGAGTGTAGACGGAAGCCTTCCACCGATGATCCGTCCAACAGACCAGCACTGTCTAGTTCTCCTGCCTGGAGGCTGAGTGAACGGGTAAGAGCAGAAACCTCAATGTTGTATTGGCCACTGGCTGCAATGGGCCGGTCCTCATCAAAAACAGTACACGGGGAATGGCATGTTGCATCAGCTGAGGGCAACTCAGAGGCAGGATCACTGACTGAGGAGTCTGCTACTGCAAAAGATGGAGAGACGTAACGTAAAGAGCTTTTAGCTGCTAAAAAGCATAACATCCAAATTGAGTGAAAGTGGTATAATGATATGTTTGAACTGTCTTATGTGTTAGATTGAGACGTGAAACAGGAAGCCTTCGTGTAGACAAAAGCTGTAGCTGACTTTGTTTAACACTAGATGGTGCACACAGCCTGTCTTACACCTGTATATTTATGGCGGTGTACCAGAGCATCATACTGAGCTTTGCACACATCATGGCAACATTTTCTTACTCTACCTTTGTCATTGGATGTTTGCTGGGTTTGGGGATCTATAGGATGAACAGTCTTCACTGGAGTTGTGGCTTCAGGGGTCTCAAACGCTCCATCAGAGTCTGAACTCCTATAATAGAAGATGAGCATACATCAGACGGATATCACTTGAACTGTAATGACTCGGAGTCAGTGACGCCATGCGAGCGTGATCATAACTTCTCTCCTTCAGAAACAGGACATCACGAAGGATACTTTAATTTTCGGTATCAGGTTGGAGGCAGGTGCAATTACATGTACAGTATGTGAAGAAAATAATCCCTGTGCTGGTATGTGTTAGTGTTTTCTTTTTTTGTAAACTGTAATGTCTACAAATGAAAACACTGAATCTGCAGTGAGGTGACAGATAATGACACAACTGAGACACTGAATAACCCCACCTCATCACACTCATGCAACACCCATACAAGTCCACCTAAAGGTTACACAGAGTAGGGAGGGACTGAGGGGAAAACCGAGTGGAAAAGAGAGCAATTACTATTTTCTGCAAGATAGGCTGTAAAATAAATCACACCGTTATTCTGTATTGATTATTCTCAGCATTACACATACACACAAAGCAAAGCCCTCCAGAAAACCGGACTACGTAGGTCGGTGCTCCACTGATCAATGTATAATCTGGCAATATGTCGCCTCAGCCTGCAGCCTGTCTCACCTCTGTCTGATCGGCTCCAAAGCATCCCTGATCCTGCGGTCATGTTGTGAGCTCCAGGAGAAACTCCGTAGGAGCCCCAGACCGGGATCAGAGCCCGGGCTGTCACCGTCTGATGCCCCACCCAGCAGTGTGTCCCAGCCCCAGCGAGCCCACTGCAGTGGAGACAGAGCCTGCCACGTACTCACTGCCATGACCGGCTACTCCTCTCCGCACAACGATGCTGCTGCCTGACACACAGGTAGACGCCCACCGCCTCTTCTTCAGATGATGACTAGAAGACCACCAGTTCCAATCTTCCCTATTGTTTTCCTTGTTTCCTCTGTATTTTGATATCTCTTTGTTTCTAATCTACAATCTTATTTCTTTCATGCTGCTCTTTGTCTATTGCAGCCCTATCAGTCTGTCTCCTCTCCTCACCAGTAGGTAATGATGCCTCCCAATCTAAATGAGACTGGCTGCAGAAGCCCACTGCCTGCATACTGTATACTCTCTCCCCCCTTTCTCTCTCTTCCTCTCCTGCTCTCTCTCTTGCTCTCCCTCCAGTTTCCTCCCTCCCTCTACATGTCTTGCTCTTGAACTACTTAGCTGTATCCACCGAGAAGACAAGGCACCCTATTGCCCACCAGCCATGCATTTACCATCTACCAGTACTTCACCAAATGAATATCATGTCCCTTAATGTTTAATGCATTTAAATGACTGTGTACAAATGGGTCATTCATACAGACACACTGAAACTGAAGAAACCTCCTTTCTTTTGATAATACTGAATCCTGAAATTATATTAGTGTGTGCATGTGCAGGCTATGGCTTCACCAACACATCCTTTGAAAGTATGATTTAAATGAGTGTTTCATAATGTCCATATAAAATGGTAAGGAAAATGTCATGACTAGAGTAAACTGTGTCCTTATTGTGGATCCTTTCACAAATACAAGAGCCTAGGTGGTAGAAGAGACAGGGACCCCCATGGTTAAATGACACCTCTATGTCTGCACACTATATTGATTTAGCTCATCTATAGGGATTTAGCTCAAGGCATTGTTGAAACCATTCAGCATCCTTTGGGGGCCATTTGTCAAACATGTACATGCATACATGGATCAAATAAAAGCCAGTAGTGCAAAAGACATGGGGGGCCTATAACACCATCACGCCATCAATTCTGCCGATGCAATACAATTCCGGGCTCACCCACTTATTTGATTGAGGTGGCTTGTAATAATTGTCTTTTGCTGTCATGGTCAATATGTCGACTTTCCCTGGGGTCAGATCACAGCAGAGATGGAGGTGTATCTAAGTCAACACTATGGCAGGAGTAACACGTTTACTTAAGCCCCAATGTAATTTGCTGTGAAATGATATAGACTACACAAGCTCCAACAAGGTCTAAATGATATGAGAAGCCTGTTAATTACATTTTTCTATAAAAAGTGCAATAATCTAACCCTAACCCTATCCCTAACCCAAATGAGGCAAAAGCACGAGCAATACTTTGGGTAGTGTGATGCAGAAATTAGAGCACATAGTAAAGAAGGGAGCCAGAGCTGTAATCTCTGTGAGGGTCCAGTGTGTCCCAGCAGGATCAGACTGGTCTGCCTGGAGATCCATCTGGATCCTTCACTGGAAACCAGGACCATAGTGTCACATGGTCGGACAGGCAGTGACACAGACAGCTCCAAGGACAGGACCCACTTACAGAGAATCAAAAGAGCTGTAAGAAATGCAGCGCTCTGGAGATTTAGTTTTAATGTGTGGTATTCAAATGTAAATATATATATAATTTGTTCATAGGATGATTGTAAATAGAACTTAATACAGTGAAATAAGGAAATTGGGTCTAATTTCAACGTTCCGTCCATATCCTTGCAGAGGATATATTTCACGTGACTGCAACACTGTGTTGCTATGGTAACAGAAGGTTGCTCCCGCCGCCATATGTTCCACGCTGGCAGGAAACACGTTGGAGGCTCACAGTCTAGCACACACACACTGAGGCTTGCCTCACGTGGTACAGTGACGTGTTATATGATATTGAAAACAAATAAATGCACATTGAAAATGACGCAAGCCGCTGCTGCATAAGCATTATTCATGAATAATTTTGGTGAAAGCAAGAGAAAATACATAATTATGTGTTTATTCTACCTTTTTGGTTCCTCTCACAATGCTTGATATTGATATTTGGTATTTATTTAAAACAAATCATACAATGAAATGAGTGATGTAATTAAATAAATAAAAAGGTTGAATAAAATCAATCTTGGAATATCTCCTGTGTTTTTTCAGCAGCTTTTGTCTGTTCTGGATGCAGACAATAAATAGAAAGAGGAAAAGCTGCGCTGAGTGGGTGAGCAGTCAGGGTATGGGGGCGAATAGAAACAAAGAGAGCAGCAGTGAGTAGCAGCCTCTCACAGGCAGAGATGACTGCCTGGAGACAGGATCTCTGCAGCGTGAGCGGGGCAGGGAGACGCTGCACTTCAGACAGCCAGACGTGTCTAAAATATAACTCTGCCTGTATAAACAGCTTTCACTGTGCTGGAGGGAGAGCCAGCGCCATCCCCGGGGAAGAGGTGGAACTGGGCTACACTGACGAGAAAACCTAACACCACATAACATATATATAGATATATCTATATATATATAGATATATCTATATATCTACATCTATCTATATCTATATATATATAGATATATCTATATATATATCTATATATATATAGATATATATATATATAGATATATAGATGAAAATATGGAAATTGTGCAATTGGCAGATAAGCAGCAATGAAACTTGAGCTGCTTATCTGCCAATTGCACAATTTCCATATTTTCATCTATATATCTATATATATATATATCTATATATATATAGATATATATATANTACCTCTACCACCCTAAGCAGACATGGCTTCCCCAGCTCCAGTTCGGTCTCCTCCCCTAGGGCCTGTCCCCTCTCCTGTCCTTGTCCTGTGTCCCCCCTCCGTCCTCTCCTCCCACTCTGCGTGTGATATTAAAAATAACTTCAGAGAGACCGGGGCTCCTCAGAGGAGATCGCAGAAACAAACATTGGCCTTGAGTCTGACAGTAAACAAAGATTGGATTTGGGTTGGTAAAAGGCTTGGCACTGTGTGAGAAAAAACCTGCAGTGGTGAGTAGTTTGTGAGTTGCATCAGTGATGCAGATTTTGGATTATTTGCGTGGTTTGCTGTGAAAAATATAAAAAATGGAGGAAAAAGGGTCAAACTTGGCCATTTTTAAAGCTGCGATGGAATTTTTGTGACTTTGGTTAACTTTGTTATTGTAATGTTTAATGCCATATGAGATTTAAATGTGTTAAGTAGATTTGCCTTGACCCGGTGGCTTCTCTGTCTCTTAACTAGCTGAATTATAATATGTGTATTATCTATGAAATTCAATATGGTATTGTAATCTTTTTTTAAACAGCATTGTATTTAGCCTTGTTGTGTTCCTGGTAGTTTTACTCTGCCAGTGGAGGGGTCAGGTGTGGGGCAGGAAGCAGTAACCTGATACTGTAGGTGTCTAAAGGAAGACATACTGCTCATCTAAACCCTAGAGCTTAAACGATGGCGCATGTTGAGTGACTGACAGGCCAAGATGAGGTGAGAAGAGACCTTGCAAATGTCTAATCATATGATTTGTCCCAGTGCTGTCTGTGCTTCCGAAAAGCTCTGAAACACTGCCGACTGCTAAAGTGCACACACGTCCACGGCTGAAATTACACCCCATTCACACAAATAGCAAGCAGGCAGCGATGGGAAGTGTCGCCACACCAACAAATAATCAGAATTAAGACGTTCAGTAAGGGGAAATCCAGATATTGAATTCCCTGATTGGATAATCATAGGAAATATGTACAACGAAAATGTATTATTTGTATACTTGAGTAGAATATACAGCCTTTGTGATAATAGTTTGGGAATAAAGTGTGCATGACTAATTGTGCACAAGACTGGAATAAAGTGGATAGGCCAGAACTCTATTTATAAAGTCTTGCATATTCAGGTCAGTGGTTTCTGACTACAGAGTTACCGTATATTCCCTGCAGTCATATATGCGGAATGCACAAACACCACTACATTCAGCACGAGTGTTTACTGCACAGCTGCAATACATACATCAAAGAAGAGGGGAAATAAAGGTGGATGTCAAGGGACTATTTGATAGGGTTATGAAAGCGATTTCTTCTGGATTTGATATACAATCAAACCATGGCTAAGGCTTGATGTGCTTTTCTTCAAATAATTGAAATATCTTTGCAGTCTTTTTCAAATATATGTATGTTTCTGGATGATTTCATTAGCTTTGACTCATGTTCCTTAACAGACTGAACACTGCTGGAAGCCAACAGACACCCCAATCTGTTATGAGGCTTACCTAACTGAGCCTAAGTCACTGTGTCATTATGTGACAGTCACTCTGTGTTACACAATGCATGTAAAGAGATGTTGTATTCTTAGAGACAATACTATTTGTTTAAGGTAATTCAAACTAGAGAAGGGGCTGCTGTTCATAATTGGTCCAATATACTCTTAAAGTATGCTCTAGAATACATTTTTATGATTACAAGATGCTTGTTAGTGGATCTGTTTCTGCCTCAGCGGAGGGAAAGCCTGCCCTTTGGTCTGAGAGGGAGGTCTTGCTTCAAGTCCATAATCTCCTAAACAACACACACTTAGCCATTCTCCCTCCCTTGTACCACAACCTCATCCCAGAGAGCTGTAATTCTGCAGACTCTGTGACTGCTGATCACACTGTGTGTCTCTCTGTGGAATAGTCCTACGCTGATGGTCCCTCTGTGCCATTGTCTTTCAGCCAGCTGATGTGAGAGGCTGTTGGTTTGGGCAGTTGTGGCCCCGCAGCTGGCTGAGCCATGGGGAACGAGAGCAGCACAACTGAGGCGTTGGTAAGGGTAAACTCGCTGGCATTAGATGGCTAAAATTGCTTTATGTTGCTCAATCTCTAACAAAACTAACACTGGCTCGCACGATTACTAACTGTTGGCTTCAGTAAAACACTTGGGATGTAAATGGTGCTTTGTGTACCTTCTCATGCTTAATTCAAGCTTTTCTAATAAGCATTTAGATAACATGCATTTTCTCTATTTTGTGGCTTAAAGCATAGGTTAAGATACATGTTAGATGCTTATATGGCTCTAAAAATTTGCTGTATTCTGATTGCTGCACCCTGATGCTTCCAAGCTTGATTTCTTGCAGCTTATAAAATCCATCACGATGTTTTAAAAATCTATGTTTGTTGTAAATGTAAACAAGTTTTAAAAAATGACAAAGAAATCAAGAATTTCCACATGTGACTGTATCCAGCAGTGGAATTCAGGATTATCTTTATAGGATTAACACATTTTTCATGTGATCTCATTAGATGTGATTGGAGAGTGAGGCTTAACATTGTTGCTTTTGCCTTAAAAAAACATGTGATTTGTTTTCAGTGCCTTTGTGCATACCACTGCTGCTTTGCACTATAGTGGCTGTTCCCTTCACTTTCATTTCCTGTCACAGCCAGAAGAGGGCGGTGCGGAACATGTTGTTCTGTTTCCACCTCAGGAAAATCAAAATGACTCCCTACAGGTACAAAATGTGTGGGTGTTTGTGTGTGAAATCCAGTGGAAATATTAACTGATAGGTGAGACATTTTAATGCATCCTTTCACAGTAAACATTAAACATTAAAAGGACTCTTTCTGGTTTTGTTGAAGTGCTTTACAGTGTGCCAAAAATGCAAATGTCGTGCTTGATTGCTGTTAAGCTAAACAAAAACAGAAAGACTGTAATTAACCTTATTTTTTACAAGATATCCAAGAAAGTGTAACTCTGCCTGTTGATTATTAATAATGAATAGCAGGGAAATCATATTTGAGTCCTTACTCTTAAAGTGCCATTTTGTGAATTTGAGCAATTTCAATCATTTTATTCAATATCTTTTTATAAATTAATACGTATTTGAAAAAATAATAATTGTGGTATGATATCTGTAAGATAACCACACACCCCACCCTTATGTGCATATAAAAGATAGGACATTCCATTCAAGTCACTGAATTAAATTGAAATTGAAAACATTATTTTAAAATAAAAATATATTTAAAGACTCATTCATGTTTTTTAATATATAGTTATTGTCACCATTTATTCCATAGGCATAACTATTTATTTTGTAAGAGTATTTGTTTTATTTCATAAGAGTATTTATTTATATATTTATTTTCAATTGACTTAAATGGCATTACATACTTATATATCTTTCACACTTATTTGTCGGTTTGATTTTGTTTATTTGTATTATTTTTGCCAACGTAGCATTGCTTTGGAAAAAGCATCCTCCAGAATGCAACCCTCTTTACCACCCTTATTTGGTGTCGTGATGGTTGTGTATTTTACATATGTTTATGATGATTTATCAGGAAGAGGGAAATAAGAAAGATTCCAAACCTACACCAAAGCTAACACGTGTGATCCCCATTAATATCCAGTGAAAATTAGCCTGGGAGATGTACTTTATACTGACAGCTGAACACCTTCAGTGTACTGACAGATGTTATGTTCCTACCCGAGGACCAGAGTGTGTTTTAATGGCCAGAGGGAAAGTGTGTTAAGCATCGAGGAGAAGGTGCTGTCATCCTCTGATGATGTCACACCTTAGCAACACTCACAGGTCAGAGTTGGATGAAGGAGGAGCTTTTCTAATACAGCAGGATGTTGTGTGCCTCTGTGTACATGTGCTCAATGTGCTATGTAACCAAAGCTTCTTGGAATGTAACCTGATCCCCTCTCAGGGGGTCACTGCAGGCCCGACCCTTGGCCTGATTCCCAGCATTCACCTGCAGAGGCACTGTCACTCTGTCAGTAGGCAGCCAGAAGACACAGCAGCAGGGAGAGAAAGGGGAGGAGGCTGGAAGCAGAGGTGGATAGGGCAGGAAGAAGAGAGGGAAGGAGGAGGGAAAAGACAAGAGAGCTGTGTACATTGGCGGGGGAGGAGAATGCTCAGCACTTCCCTGTGGCCAGCTCAGTCAAGTCTCAGCAGCAAGCACTGTGTGTGTCATTGCGTAGTAGTGTCTCTCCACAAACACAATCCTGAGGAGGCGCATGGAAATTTAACAGGAGAGTGTCAAGAGCAGCAGCAGAGAGGACAGGACTGTGAGGAGAGGAGGAGCTGAGTCAGAGAGGAGAGTGTGAGCGTCAGCAGCAGCATGTGTTGCAGCATGTTTGCCCCCTTCTTCAAAACACACAGCCCTGCAGAGAGAAAGGTAGAAGGGTAGCTGAGGAGTCACCTTCAGCAGCACAGAGGAGCAAACACTGCTGGGTAAGTGCAACACAGGGGATGTAAAGAAGGGTTGTGTTAGAGCTGTGTAATGTCTTAGTGAGGGCTTGGCTCTGCTTCAGCCTCCTCCCTGTTTACAACAGTCATGTGTTAGGCATTACAGTTGTGTTAGCACATGGGCACTGACAGATTGAGTTAACAGTAAGTGGGATATAATGAGTGTTGGACAAGTAGTAGTTTCTAGGCAACCTAAGTGTGCTTTCTGTTTTCTTCCTGCTGGTTAATGGATAACAGACAGTGCTTTCTGCATGGGGGTCACACTAACTGTAACAAGGGCCATGCTTTTCCACCTCACTGAGCTTCCACTTCTTCATACAATGGCCATACAGTGAGGATTAAGTGTTGGTTGTAAACTCCTAGGGCTGTGTGTTGTTACTCTGTTGTAGCTGCTCTGAGTTTGTTTCCACTGTGACATTATCAGGTGAGAAAGTTCAGGCAGGAAACAGGAAGCCAAAGACACGTCAACATACAGACTTTTATCATAAATCTATGTTCATTTCTACATGTAGAACTATTAAGGTGTGGATGAATTGTTTGTTAAAAATCATATGATGATACAGAAAATGACAGTAGTATGGAGATCACAGGCATTCAGAGTGACACCTGCAGCACACTCTTTTAGGTTTACTCTTTCTTTGTCTTACGTTCTCTAATGTTTTTTTCTGCAGCCTAGCAGGAGTAGTCTAAAATAAACATTTAAAAATAACTCAATCTGGCTTGGAAACACAGATGTGAAGAGAGAGGCTACAATTGGCCAACATTCCTCTAAAGTGAGTTTTAAAGGCGTAGTGCAGTGGAGATTTTAGCTTTTTTGTTCTTGTGATCGCGTGAGCAACATCCTCCATGTGAGGCTCTTTGTTGTGGTGACACAGGTGAGGCCAGTGACTCAAGAGCCTCTTAACTACACACATAGCTTGTTAGCCTGTCTCTAATATCTGCAAAAGGCACCACTGACATGTGAGTTGACATTGTGTAGTCCATCTTAAAGCAGGACTACATTTTTGATTGTTGTTGCATTTTAAAATCAATGAATGTAAAGCAAATGTGCTACATTACCTTTAAAATAACCTAAATAAGTGAAAATAACAGTGCAAGCAGCTAAAACTAGACTCCTAAAATCATGATTTCTGTTTATTGGTCATGATACTCATCTCCTTTTGTGTGCAGCCATGCTGTCTACTTGTTCATAAATAATGAATGAACGGATTCAATTCTGAATCTCAGCTACTGTAATCCTTGATGGTTGGCATTAGAACACTGGTTTTTAATCTTTCTGTACTCACACTTATAAATACAATCGCATTGTAGTTTGCTCAAATCAGCACCCTCTTTGTAAGAAACAGTTCAAATCGTCCCAACATACGGACTGTTAAAGGGCTGTTTGCACATGTTTATGTGTCTGTGCTTACGTTCACATTTGTTTGCACCTGCACTCCTCAGTTTATTTCCAAGAGGGTGAAACAATGCAAACGTTCCCCTATGTAAACTGAGGCGGCCTATGTGGGAGAAATTCCATCATATAGAGGGTCCACAGTGAAGTGTTGTGTTGTTGCTGCAATATGATGCTGTTTGTGTTAACATCATTTAATCTTGGGCTTTAATAAATCTATTATTCTTTGTCAATTATTTTCTAAGTGAGGCCCTTTATGATGAATGTTCATGTGAAGGTGCTTTATACAAAATAATTAAATCTGAGATGAGTTTAACCACATGTCTGTCACATTCCAACAGGACTGGTTTGTCTTTAATGATTACTCTTTCTGGCTGGGAAAATGTTTTATCATAGCAGACTTCCTTGTGAGGTGTTTCCAAGTTAGAGAACACCCGGCTGTAATGAAACATTTAATTAAACTAGTTCCCTTTCACAATAATAGTTAGTTGCTGCTGAGAACTGCAGTGTAAGCAAACTGCAGAGATTAGCCTGGGGACACTGAGCCTGGGCATTAATTCTAGGCTATAACACTAGAAATAATCCTTTAATCGCAGTAATAGTATAAGAAATGCAAGTTGAGAGACAATGAAAGGAGCTCCAGTCAGTATGGCCTACACATTGCCACACAAACAACACCTCACTTAATAGTTAAACATGGGTGGAGTTATTTCTCTGTGAGGTTTGGCTTTGAGCGTTTAATCTGTAGGTGTTCCCATGCTTGTTCACAACCAAGTCACCTATAAATATGGCGCAACATGCTCACACTTGTTTAACTTCACACTCTTATCATGTGCAGCAAAGACTTACTACCATTATATTTCCCTCTTCCACAGCCGGAAGCTAAGAGTTTGACCAAGAGAGACGACAAAGGTCTTCTGACTGTATCCTCCAGCAGCCAGCAGAGTCTGCTATCCCTACCAGACGTCCCAGTGATCAGCGGGGTGGAGGAGAGCAGGAGTTCAGCTGAAGATCAGGATGAGCTGGAGTTTCCTCATGACTTGCTGCCCAGTCTAGACTTCAGCAGCGAGCTCAACATCTGGGAGTCCTCTCTGGGGTAAGTTAAGGATATAAACACATGCACATAAACACGCATACACACTTATGGAGGTAACTATCACTGTTTATATCATAATGTATTTTTCCCCTCCCTTGTCGGCGTGGCTCAGGAGGGAACATTTGACATCACAATGTTATTACACCACCATTTTAGCAACATTGGGATGATTCTTTGGCAATCTTAGCATCTTTCTATGGCATTCAAACGTCTTAAATGTACTTTGCTGAAACTTGGTGGTCCATCATACCTAATGTATATACTTCCAAGGTTTTATTTGAAGGTAAAACAATATATGTAAATATATGTTTTCACTTAAGGATGCAGGTTTATGATCAATCATATTATTATTGTATTCTTGTAAAATCATTTATTCTATATACATTTTGCTTGATTTATGGGTGTGATTTATGGAGCACATTTGTACCAACTATCAGGTCAAGGTGAAAGGAAAGCTGATATTGATTTGTTGTGAATGTGTGTCTACCTGTGTGTGCACATGTGGTGTGGGTTTGTTTACGCAGAGCTCAGACTAGCTCAGCAGAGGGGAAATGTGAGCAGGTGAACCCCCTGCTGGCCGGCCTGCAGCAGCACCACGAAGTCAGTCCACCACGGGTGGTTCTAGATAAAAGGTACAATGTAGAATCAGCATGATGGGGGATAGGTGGGAGTGTGCTCAGCAGGGATGATCCAAAGTAAAACAGGGAGCATGGAGTGTGCCCAAAGGATGATAGGGTCATTGAACGTTTCTCATTTAGGCTGGAGTGTGCTGGACATCTTCTTTCTAAGCAGACTGAGGTGTGTTTGTTTTTAATGCTTGGGTGAATTACCTGCAGACTAACTTTATGCTCTGTTTTTACAGTTGCCTGGTTTTCTTATGGGTAATTGTACTAATTTCTCTGAGGCATTAAGGTGCTCTGAAAAAGTGAATCATAGCAGAAGTATGTGAATGTAATAACTAAGAATTTAAAATAACAGGAACACACAAATTAGGTAAAAATTGTCAGATGATCATGAAGTTATGAAGGGTGACTTCTTAGTAACTCCTAAGTATGATGTGTCACTTTACTGAAGGGTGCACAGAAAGTGTAATTATTAAATAAGCAATAAATGAATCATCACTGGTTTTTGCGGCTGTAGTTAATTCTTAGATAACCAGGAATAAAGAAGGTTATCGTCATTAAGACTAATTTATGAAGTAATCATTACCAAAAAATAAAAATGTATACAAAGAACTGATTAGCAATTAATTACTGACCAGAATCTATTAGCAACTACACACTTTTTCGTGTACCATAATGTATTCGTCCAAAAAAGGTAATTTACAAACATTTACCGGATAGATAAAAGTACTCGAACTGCAAAAATTCAAATGAAGAACGTTGGAGTTCCTGCCTTTTAAGCTAAACACTGCAGGGTAAAGGACGTAGGTGGTCTTAAAAACGGCAAGAACCACCTGGTTTATTTAAGCTCAGGTACACATTGCAGGCAACAGCTTGTTGAATAGCAAAACTTTCCATCTACGCCCACTAGTAGGGAGTGCCAACTGAATTAGATGAGGGTCAGTGAGGTGAGTAATAACAAGTTGTCAGGGTAGAGATTGTATAAAGAAATGACAGGGCTTTTTTATAGTGCATTAACCACACACAGTGACACTTAGTTACATTAGTTCTTACTTCATTTATTTATATCTGAACAAAGATTCAAGGTACCTGATACCAGATATGAATAGGAGTGTAGCTGATCTTATAATTCAAAAAATGATGATGGATCTTTCCTCTCAGTTAGGCCTAAAGAAAAGATGGCCCCTTAACCTTTTGCTGCAATGCTGGCAAATGACTTAGCAGTGACTCAGCAATTACAACTGAATGGCACAAAGCTAGCCTTAGTGTTACAGGCATTATATTGTAAGAAGTCTAACATTGTGATGCTAGCTGTTTACTTCAGGGAATGCTTTGCAGGGCAATAACACTGCTTTGATAAATGGTTATATATAAATATCATGAGGCAGGAATTGTTTTGGTGCATAAGCATGAGCATGAGGTTGTTTATCTTGTGACTTGATTTATTACCATCCCTCAAGGGAATACTAATAAGGCTGTAATGTAGCATACAGCATATTCACTTGCAGTTTAATAATCACTATCTTTTACATTAAAAAACGTTTTTTAGAATAAACATATTAATAATAGTGATCAGCATGATGTGGCAGACAGTATTGATTGTTAGTATATAACCAGAGTACACAAAATCCTGACTATAATACAATCTTTTCATAATACTATTAGGTAGTACTATTGTATAGTATATGGATGCTATTACAATACTCAATCATTTATTGTAACATCATTCTGCTAGTACTTGGTTCTTGCTTTACACAACACCATTACTCATACAAAAGTACGGTACTGTTTATTCTTAAGCTTTTGTGACATTTTGAAAAATCAGGCAGTCACATTGAAAAAGGGAAGTTATAAATTTTAAAGGCTTGTTTTTGTTTGTTTTTTGAAGTTGAAAGCGTATGAACAGACCTGCATGTTCATTAACAACCATAAACATAGAAACAGCTGATATTATTCAGATCATCTCAGAACAGGCATCCTGAGTGCAGTTGTGTGTGCACATGGTGGAGTGCAGTGTCTGAGCATGGCCTTCTGCTGTGGCAATAGCAGCGATTTGTGGCATCGTGGAATGACCAGCTGTCTGCCTGCCAGACTCTTAACTGTGTCACCCCACCCTCGTCTCAGGCCTCATGACAGCGACCCAGTTCTCACAGATGTCCAGCCTTCACCTCGGCCCTCTGCCACACCTCACCCGGATGTCCGACCCCTGACCCCTCCCATCTCTGAGCTGCTTGACCGGGAACTCCAAGAGGCCTTCCAGGAATGTGAAGAACAAATGGCCTCACTGAGCACATTCAGTCCCTCAGGGCCCCCCGGCACCAAACCTGAGACTGTTCATAATGAAGGGAAGAAAACTGGAGAAGTGACGGTTAAAAAATCCAATGAGTCATCGTCACTGCCTCCACTCGTAGTACATCCAGGACATAGCAACGGGGGCCATGGAAACAAGAGTACACACGGAAACAGTGAGGCAGCAAACAGTCGGACGGATACAGTTGTGTTTAGTTTCAGGGATTACATACTGGGCAATGAGAAAAGTGCTGGGGCAGCGGAGACGGAGAGTGAGATAAAAACAACACAGAGACTGGAGAAGTGTTCAGATTTTAAGACAGAAACAGAGATAGATGAGCAAAAGGGAACACCCACACATACACAATTAGAAACCACAGATTTATTGAAAGAAACCCAAAAAGATGTCGCTGAGCAGAGAGGCGATTTTAGAGACAAACATGTTGATTCCAATGCAGCCGTTGAGAAAAAGAGCACTGTAGATTGTAGTATAGAAATAGGGGACAAATGCAAGGAGGCAATAACAGATATTGTAGACATTAAGAAAGAAAAGTGGAATGAATCCAGTATTAACGACACACCAGAGTGCAGTGATGTTCGTTTAAAAGATAAACACACATTATCAGAGAGGCAGCCAGAGACACAGACAGGAGCAACACATCTAAGTCAGGAGGATCAGGAGTCAAAAACAGACAACTCTCCATGTGACAAACAGACCGAGCTGAACAAAAAGGCAAAGAAGAAAGAAAAAAAGAAACAAAGGAAAAAGAAAAAAATAGAAGAGAAGAACACAGAGACTGGCCAGAAAGCAAAGGCAGTAGAAAAACCTGAAAACAATTCAGAGGCTGTATCTCTCACAAATGTGGACACTCACACAGAATCAACAGAATCAATGTCCCAGGCAGACACTCTGAGTTTGATTTGCGGGGAGCAGCCTGATTGTGGGTGTGACTTCAAGAGACAGCTGAGTCCTAGGGGAAAGCCCTGCCCCAGCCCCCCACCATCATCCTCTCATAGCAGCCACGATCATCTTTCTGACCTGGGGTGTTCACCTGCATCCAACCAGGCTCTTTCTCAGAGCCCTCTTCAATCAGAAAACCACAGACATGCAGACGCCCCATGTGATATTAATCACTGCTCAGTAGCAAGCCCACAGCGGATGCAACATGCAACCGGAGCCGTCATCGACAAACCAGATATACCCATGACACATGTCCGAACTACAGTTATCAATCCAGCTGCCAATAAGAGGTCAGGTGCAGTTTCCTCAGAGGCAGGGATACTCGCATACGAGAATCAGAGTCCATTCTCCAACAGGCAATTTTGTGTGGGAGAGAGCAGCGTGGAGAGTGCCCTTGAAGAGGCTTTAGTGGTGGTTGCTGCGTTGCCACTGGCAACACCCACGATGCCAGAAGTGATAGAAAGCAAGAGAGAGCGAGAACATGATTCACTGAAAAGAGTATCCACTGTAGCGATCGCAGAGAGTGAGAAGGCAGTGGGAGAGAAAGGTTTGGAAGACATAGAAAAGTGCTTCTTCCCTTCAGACGGAGAGGAAAAGGGACTCCCGGACAGCCTTGCATTCATCTGTTCACAGGGAAAAGGTTCCCTTGCATTCTCCGCCAAAGAGGGACAAGCTGTATCTGAGGAAAGCTGCAGCAGCAAAATGCCACACAACTCAGCTGAGGCTGAAACAAAGGGACAGAGAGAGGCGGCTGTTCGCAGTGCAGACATCTCACCGGCTGAAGAGGGAGACATAGAAAAGGAGCATCACCATTTAGAAGCCTTTGTCATTACTTCTCCCTTGAGGATACTCAGTGGTCCGGATTGTCAGGCGCACAGAGCTGCAGGATTGGTGGGAGGAGGGGAGGAGGTGGGAGAGAAAGGAGGGCTGGCTATAGAGCACAGTTCATTCAGCCAGCCAGAGAGCTCTGCTGGTGGGGTGTCATCATCTGAGGCTGAGGCGTGTCCGCTCACCAATGTTGCCGAGTCACAGCTAAAGTCACACGGCTGGAGGGAGCCGATTGCTTCCATCTCTGAAGGCGTCTTCACCGAACAGGACCGTCTCCCGCCCCCCGGACACCAGCAGCAGGATGGTGCACTAATTTCATCTAACCGGCAACAAAGCAGCAAAGAAAACCGAGGGGTAAGGGCTGATCTCACACAGGACTCATCCATCACAGAGACAGAGGGAAACTGCAGCCAATTCTTCCTGTCTTCCATCTCACCCCAGCCTCTGACTACTAAACATCAAATCACAGCCGAGCGACAAGCGAGCAACGATCAACAGGTCCAGCCTGAAAGTAGCACAGAAGAAACTCTCCAAGCACAGACCCCGAATAATATTAACGCTATGTCGGGAGTGGGTGTGTCCTTATGTGAAGGCAATAAAAGCCATAACAGAGTTCGCTTTGCAGACACTGTGAAACAAGAAGGCAGTTCCTCTGTGAATCTCAGGAGCATGGCTTTGTCGCCTATGGACTGCGCCTCTTTGCCCCCGCTGACTGTTCATGAGAGTTTGTACCATCCCGTGGTTGAGGCCAGCTACATCTTCCCAGAATTCCTGGTTTTGAAGAAGCCAGAAATTCCAACAGATGCAACTCCTACCAAGGACGATTTTGCAAAAGTGAGCCCGTCCGACTTTCCAAAGCCACAGAAAGATGTACAGTCGGATAAAGGGCAGATGGGGATAAAAGTCAACAAGGAGACCATTAAGAGCAACTTCGAGACAAACACAACGGATTCAAAGTCTGAGGCTTGCTCAAAACAACCTTTATGTCCGACCGAGACGAATGGTGACATTTCACATGCAGCAGAAAATGCCTTGCCTGAGGCCGATCATCATAAAGCTGAGCTGGTGTCAGCAAATGTGACAAAGCAATTAGAGGCGGAAACACGCAAGGGTGCCTTAAATCTGTGTTTATCAGCTGAGAAAGAAACAGACAAGCTACATGCTGAGTCTAAAAACTCAGTTACGACTGTCCCGCCTCAGGAGTCGCCTTTAATAAGTGATGAAGGTAACCAACATGCTCTTATCTCACGTTCTGTGTCTCCAGCTGATGATGTCACCGCTGAGCTTCTTGTTGGGCAGCTCTCTGCAGACCCTGACCCCTTTCTTCAGACACAGCCTAGTGACCTCAGTTATCAGCCTCCCATCCAATTAGATCAAACCCCTCTTCGTGGACTACTCACTACTGATCCCACTGAGGGGCCCATTATCCCCTCTGCTGTTCAGACAAAGAATGAATCAGCAGCTTCAGTAGTGACAGCCTCTGACCAGTCAATTCCTGTTATCGAGCAATGTGTCGGTAACTCTTTTGTGCTGCGGCCCCGTGGCCCTTTGTTGAGTCACTTGGAGTTAATTTCTGACTGTGATATCTCTCTTCCTGAGCAGATAGATAACAGCGGTGCGTACGGTGACAGCGCCAAAATCTCTGGAGAGGAAGATGGCAACAAGAGCAGGGAAATAACTAAACTGTCTGTTGCAAAGGATCTGGAGCATAACGATGTTGGCGTTAAAGTGGACGAGGTTTGTCCGAAGCTGGAGGAAAAAAATCACATAATGGAGTCTGCAATTATAAATGTAAATATTCAATTTTCACAAGAAAACAATGTGTCTCCTCTTCAGCCTCCTGGTGCAGTGGGTGTGCTGGCAAAGGATGGGTCTGATAATGTAATTTCTCAATCTCACACTGATCCAATTGGCATTAAACCTGTTATTTGTGAAGCATCTATTAAGGATGACCTCATTTATGTCAGCTCTGACCTGCCTACCAACAAGGCTTGCGATAAAATTAAACAAGAAGACATGAAAGAGAAAATGGGAGATCAGACCTCCGTGCTGTTTGCAGAGGAAAAGAAAAAAACTGAAGAGGCAACAATGGATAATCAAAAGGAAACGGCAGACAGGAGCACAGTGCAGATAGGAGAGAGTGGCACAGCACTGCAACAGGGTAATGGGACAGATACAGAAGCTGTGGAAGAAATTCGAGACATGCAGCCACCGCATAAACATAAAATACACATGACTGAATCGCTAATAGGGGATATAAAGGAGGAAGGAGAAGGGAAGAGCCAGACTTCCCCCTTATCTCCCAACAGACCTGTGTGGTCATCTGAAGACAGATTAAGTGCTGAGGTAGAGTTTGGTAGTGAACCTCAGACTGTTTATGAGCAGAGTTTGCTCCAAACTCCGACAGCAACACTGGAACACAGCTCTGACAGGGACAAGGCACCTGACCAATCGCAGTCCACACTGGAGCCAAACAGTTTTGCTCAGCAACAGCAGCGGCTTCTCGGATCCAGACATCCCACAGAGGATTTGTCAGGTGGCTGTCTAAAGGGGGGAGAACAGAATAACAGTAAGGCCAGGCAGACCCTAACGATGGCTCCCGGGGTGAGAGAGGGAGCAGAGGGAGGACACGGCTCTGTTGTGAGTTTGTGTCAGTCAGGAAGAGGGGATGAGTTGACAGATGACGACAGCAGTGGCAATGAACGTGGGATAGGTTTGGAGAAAGGAAAGGGGGAGGGTGCAGTAGAGGTTGACAGCGTTTATGTGCCATCTCACCTAGCCAGTGATGTAAATGAGAGTGGAAAGGCTGCTCAGAGAAATGCGTTGACTGATACCACAGTTCTCTCTCATATAGGTGAGACGAGACAGGGGATGGATGAGAATAAAAGCCCTGCGTTAGAGGTAGTTGGGTCGGGTACAGACACTGAGGTTGTGAGGGATCTTTATGCTGAAGGTCAGCAGAAAAGCAATCTATCAGCTGCCTGTCAAGACCAACATGAAAAACCAGAGACTTCAAAGGACAATGCTGTATCTGTTGAGTCTTCATCACAGGAACATGAGACTGCACCTTTCCAAATCTGTGTTCCATCAAAGGTCAGCACAGACAGTCAATGCATTCACACAACAGTTGTTCCAAGCGCAAGCAAAGCTGAAGAAATTCTTACAATAACATCCAGTGCTATGGTTGTGCAACCGGAAAGTGTGGGAAATGATTTTAGCCCTGTCCTGGCTGTAAAAATCCACAGTAGTGAAACGGAGGACTGTGAAATTCAGGATACTGCGTGCAAGCCTCTCGAGCTCCAGAGTTCCATAACAACGTCAGCCATACAAAGCAGCTCGGTAGTACAAACAGGCCCTGATGTAGAGGAGATCACAAAGGAAGATAAAGCAGCTTTGGACGAAGAGAAAGTTAACAGCCAGGGAAAGGGACAAAGTGAGATCAAAGCGACGAACAATGAGGCAGTGAAAGAACAGGAGGTCATAAATCAAACTGGAATTGCTAAAGGCAGTGGCTCAATCGGTGTTTCTAAGGCAACAGAAAAGGGTATAACAGATACAAATACTCCTGGAGATATCACAGCTTCATCTGTTGTTTCGTCAAAGAGCCCGGAAGCCTCAACAGTTACCCAGTCAGAGAAGCCTCATGATCAGGTGTCAAAGCCCGGAGATCATACTGCGGTAAACCCCATTGTTGCTGCTCCCCACTGTGAAGGAGAAACACTTGTTAAACATGTGTGTTTGAGCGCAGAGGCTGCAGAGGTTTCAGAGAGACAACCAGAAACAAACTGGATACAAGCTCTAAAAGAAGCTGCATCCCATACTCAGAGTAAACAAGATACCTTAAGGTAAATACAAGAGCATGTGTGTGTGTTTCAAAATATCATATGAGAAATAATGCCTTAAGATTTGGAGGTTAGAAGAGTGTACACGAGACTATACTGATAAAACTATGTTAATGTGAAATGAAAACTGAGAACTACACATGTCTGAGAGGTCAGTGGGGGTCAACATGGAAAAAGAAGCATGTTAGCATGTCACACGTATCGTCACAAAGAGAAAAGCACATGTGAAGTCACCAACCACAACTAAAAAATACAGATTTATTTTGACATTCCCATGGGTAATAATTATTTGACGTCCAGTTGTTTAGAAATCATATATTGCATCAGTTTCTTTCTTTTACTTAGCATTCCATTAACACCATGTCCAGGGCTTGTTCAGAGTGATATTACAGAGAGCAGCTTGAAAATGAATATGAATGAGGGGGTAAACACAGAGCTGCTTTTTGTTTGACTCGAGGCCCGGTCAGATGACTGTGCCTGTGGAAGTCTAATGGAAGAAATACAGCACTTTATATTCAAAGGATGACATCAGCTGGGACATCGTTCGTGCTCTCCAGAGCAAGAATGAGCCTTTTCTCAAACTGCTAAACACAATGCAGCAACACAAACACACACATGTACCTACAGTTCTTCTGCGAACACGCACAAAAAAAAAAACACACACACTTCTAGACGGATACAACCCCCTGTATAACCACACAGACACACACATTTGTCAATTGCCAGTCATTTATGGTGCATGTGCTGTAAACTAACAACAAATCCCCAACCCCCTCTTCTCTTGTGTTGTTTTTCCAGACCCTTCCCATCTCTGGAGTCTCCACAACTAGAGTTTCTAACACCAGCTGAAGAGATAGCTGCTCCTCCGAAAGAGGACGAGATCCCACCACCGGCTCAAGCTGTGGAGAAGACAACTGAGATCCCCCCTCTGAACCTTGAGAAGAAGCCAGTGGATCTTCCTGAACCTTTAAAGAAGCCAGTGGATCTCCCTGAACCTTTAAAGAAGCCAGTGGATTTCCCTGAACCTTTAAAGAAGCCAGTGGATCTCCCTGAACCTTTCAAGAAGCCAGTGGATCTTCCTGAACCTTTAAAGAAGCCAGTGGATCTCCCTGAACCTTTAAAGAAGCCAGTGGATCTTCCTGAACCTTTCAAGAAGACAGTAGAGCTCCCAGAACCAATACAGGGTACACAAGTAGAGCTCCCAGAACCAATACAGGGTACAAAAGTAGAGCTCCCAGAACCCAGGGTACAAAAAGTAGAGCTCCCAGAACCAATACAGGGTACAAAAGTAGAGCTCCCAGAACCAATACAGGGTACAAAAGTAGAGCTCCCAGAACCAATACAGGGTACAAAAGTAGAGCTCCTAGAACCAATACAGGGTACAAAAGTAGAGCTCCCAGAACCAATACAGGGTACAAAAGTAGAGCTCCTAGAACCAATACAGGGTACAAAAGTAGAGCTCCAACAAGAGGCAAAGAAGGTAGAGCTCTCAGAACCAACCAAGAAAGAGGAAGAGTCTCCAAAAGAGCTCCCTGAGCCTAAAAGTGAGCCAGTTACTTCAGACATAGCTAAGGGGCCAGCTGAACTTGAAGAACCAATAAAGCCCATAGAAGAGCTGCAAAAGCCAACGAAATATGAGGACCCAGAACCAACAAAGACTGCAACGGAGCCACCAAAACCAGAAAAGAAGCTGATCAGTGAGCTGCCAGCAGAGGAGCTAGTGGAAGACCCGGCCGAGATCCTACCTGAGGAGCCAATAATAGTGCCAGCTGAAGAAACAACAGCCACAGAGACCGTCCAGAATCCTGCTGAGGAGCCGCAGGACAGTGGGTAAGTGCTTTTGTTAATCATGGGATTAACACATAATGAATTACGATGAGTGTTTCCAAAAGTATTTATTTTAACAGCAAACAAAAGCAACTTCCACTCATTGTCCCACTGCAGAGTTTTCAGTGTAAGCCTACTTTGTGGAGCAATGTTTCCCTACAAGGCTGCTGCCAAGGGACTTTTCTCTTGACTAACTCTGGATTTAAAAAACATGTCCTTGTAATCTTCAATCGACTGAAATCTAAGGATTAATCCATTTACAACAACATGTTTAAGGGGAGACTGGTCATTTGTGGTTTACTGAGTTCATACGGGAAACCAGACATGAAAATGATTTATAAATGGCTTTTTAGACCCGATAGCTTTTCCTAAAACGTATAATAACATTTCCATTACAGTGATTTATCCGAGGCATTTTATTGCAGCAAACCTACTGTATTTGTGAAAAGGAGGACTCTTAGGGGGCCATGTGCTTTACAGCTCAGCAGCTCTGCCTGTCACACATTAAAATGGATTTCCACGCGATTTCAGTGTACCCTCGGTGGCTTTGTTTGGCTTTCATACACCTCGAGGGCGCCTGGTCGCTTGATGCTGTCTGCAGCGATTTACCAGTGTCTGCTTGGATGAATGAGACGCAGTATCACTAATTTGTGTGAAACCTCAGTAAACCCTTAACGTTATTCAAACTGATGACTAGGATAAATATACACACTTAACCCAGTGAGGACCTTCATGTGGGCATTCAGTATTTATTCAAGCATTTTAAAGCTCTGGGTAGACCATCTGAACAAATTGTGCAAGAATGTTTTGTGAAAGTGTTTTTCCACTGTTTTAACTATGTGAGGAATGTCTTTTGGGAAACTCTATTGAAGTCAAATCATTGCTGCTGATTTATTTCCACTTGAGCTTCAGCCTTTCTTTGTTATCTGTCTTAATTGTCACTCTCTGCTGCTGTTTGTGGAATGACCAGGAGCCGTCACACATGCCAGAGTAGCACTTGCTGCCTGTCAGTCACAACACTTGTCCCATCACTGCTGTTGGAGACATAGAGGCTTGTCCTAGGGAGGAGGAGTGACAGCGCTATTTCCATAGGTTTCATCAATATATAAAGTTACACTTGGTACCAGAGTTAGAATTGTGACTGCCTGGTCAATGATGTGTGTGTGCGAGTGTGTACATATGTTTTTTCCCCGCCCCTAGAGGCTGTCCTAGCTGTCAGTCCTGCTCAGTCTGTGCGGCTTTGTGAACTGAAGCCTGTAGTGGGAGGAATTTTCGGGCAGGCACTCAGCCCCACTGAAGTCATTTTCACAGACCAGACAGAGTGGAACAAAAGCCAGAGTAAAGAGAAACACTGGAGCATGTGCTGCAGCGTGAGTGTGTGTGACAGAGTCAGTCAGAAGCACAGGCAGAGGACAGAAGGACTGAGACGTACACCCTTTTGCTCTGCTGTTTCTGAGTTCAGAGAAGTCTTTTCCATCAGTTATTTTTAAAACAGCCCTGAAGGCGTGTGTTGGATTCCTCAATGACTGAACTCTGGGTAAGTTGACAAGAAGTATGTGCCCTATTTTCTTTGGCGTTCTTCTGTGTAAGTCCCTCCAGGTGGATGCAACAGATGGTCTGTAGGTAACTAGTGCTAATTACGCTCTGTCTCTGCTGACCTCACCACATGAGAGGAGGGGAGAGAAACATAGAAAGACCAAGAGACAGAAGGCAGGAAAAGAAGGAAAAAAGTTGCGAAATATACCCTGTACTTTAAAAACAATGTAACAGGTTAGAGCATGTTGATGATACACTGTTGACGAGGCATGCCACTGTCGAGTACTTATCCTCTGTTAGACTACTGTGTGAGTGTTCAAAAAAGTTATCATAGACTTTTAATTTAAAGAGTACAATTATTATGGGCATTGCAGAAAATGTTAAGGGAGACTGCTGTGTGACATGTTAATGCCCCATAATACTTTTTGTATAGATGTTACACAACTAGTTCTAATAAAATCTTCTTTAAAGCCATTTTTTCCGTTGAATCACTTTGGGTATGACTGTGACTACTCAGCTTGGTATGTAGGATATTTCTCATCCATGTTTTTAAAGTAAAGGGAAGCAGGACGTGCTATGGCCCACACTGTACTGTAAATAGACTAGTTGCCATGGCAATTGTAGGTTCATGCGGTTCTCCTGCCATAAGTGAAGTTGTAAAATCTGTCATTCAACCACACTCGACTGACTTTATGTAATATTCAATCTATGTTGTGGAAGAAGATAATTTGTTTATTATTTAGGAAATACTCGTTTTCAATATATACAATGTGTTCTTGATTGTGCAGCGTGTGCGTGTTTGAGGGGTCAGTATGAGTTATCTGATGGCTGCACGACAGAAATGGTCCTCATTGTTGCAGCACTAGAAAAAGCTGGTTTTATTTACAACTCTGTTTATACTCTGTTTACCATTAAACACCCTGCCTGGACTTATTGTCTCTTAGGTCCAGCTGTTTCCCCTAGATTTCGCTAACTGGTGTGTGTTCAATACAGTACAATCAAAGTCCCTTTTGTCTACTCAATGGTCATGAAAGATGAGGTTAGAGAACCAGGTTTGTTATCTGGACTGTGACAGAAAATGACGTCTATGTATCGCTGGACTGACCTTCTGAAGAACTGCTCATAAATCTGACTCACCAACAGTACAAAACCCTGTATTGCTTTCTGGTGTTTATGCCAACAAAACTGCACTCATGTGAAAAAGTGTGTTGCTGAAAACTGCACATGTTCTCCCCCTCACACACTGTTTCAGGAAGAATATAAGTTGGAAAGTTTCTGCTTTTAACCTCAGTGGATCAGCTGTCATTATCCCCACATACAACCCACTGAACCAGTAAATACTATACACTTGTGTGCAGGATAATCTTATTTTCTGCCAATTGTCTCTTTCCCTATGCGCTTGATTTATCTTTCTATCTGCTCCATAGCAGTTCGTGTCCATCTTTGGAGGCAGCAGCGAGTCTTATGACGGTTTGCTCAGACTGTGTTGTGACTTGGTTATTTCTATTTCCAGGGTGCATGTGCCAAGTTGGCCACAGATGCTGACATATGTATAGCTTTGGCCTGCTGGTGTAAGTCACAGACTGCGGATTCGTAATGAGAGGAATGGGACCAAATAAAAATTCATGTATGGATTTGTAGGACGTTTTCTTTTCATGCAACCATCCTGCAGCGTTTAGAAAATGATGTAGTTTTAAGATGGGGTGATGGGAAACAGACTTGTGTAATATGTAAACTTTACCTTGCTACGCCCTTAAGAAAAGCACACACGCTCATTAAATGTTATTAAGTTCTGACTTTACTGGAGAGAGAGATGGAGGATAACAGAGCTCAGTTTCAGTGTGAAATGAGCTGGAGAGACGTTTGGAAAATTGCAGCTCAGCGGCAGCAGCCGACCTGATGCCTCACTCCTGTAAATGTGTTTTAGTTGATGGAGGTTTTTTGAAGCTCTGCAGAAGAGGCTACTGGGGTATTTTTAGAGCTAAACAGGAGGCATGCCCCAAGTGGGGAACAGCTGCATGGGCGTCCATCGCATTGCCTGTCAGATTAGAGAGCCTACCACTCCTGATAAGACCAGCCTGGATCCGGGCCAAATCCACTCCACCAGGTGGCTGATGATGACAGAGCCAGACATCTCCATGCAGGCTACTTCACTGCAGGGCACGTACAGCAAGCAAGGGAAACATGGATTTCCATGTAAAGGGACTAATGACAGGGGTTACATGTCATTTCAACGACAAAGTGTTCGTAGGATGTTTGTAGAGAGCATTTTATCTTTGAAGATATTTGTTGGGGAAATATTTTCCTAGGCCCATACCTTTTCATTTCATTTAATTTCAAACCTTTATTTATCCAAATTGTCCCTTGAGATCATAGATCTCTTTTTCAAGGGAGACCTGCAGCAATTAGGTTCCACATGAAAACATAAAACAACATAAAACAATAGAGGATATCATACAACATGTTTACCAGCTACATTTAAATACTTATCAACATTTACAAATACCCATAGTTTCAAAGAGCATTTCACTTAGACTTGCTTTAAAAACATTCAGAGGAATAAAATTGCTCAGTTTCAATTTTAGCTGTAGACTGTTCCAAGCAAGTGGCGCTGCGCACATAAAAGCTGTCTTACCTAAGACAGTCCTTGCTCTTGGCACATCTAACAAGACTACATCATGCGATCTCAGACAATAGCTGCTTGCAACTCTCTGTGTTATCAGTGAGCAGATATAATACGGGAGTTTACCCAACCTGGCTTTATAAATAAACGTGTACCAATGACTGAGCCTCTGTACAGTAAGTGATGGCAAACCTGCCTTGGTATACAGTGTACAGTGGTGTGTAAGTGCTTTACAATTAGTGACAAATCTCAGTGCGCTGTGATAGGCGGCATCTAACTTGTTCAGGCAATGGGCAGGTGCATTCATATAGACCAGATCACCATAGTCCAGCACAGGTAAAAAGGTCACAGTGACTAGCCTTTTCCTGGCTTCAAAAGAGAAACAGGACTTGTTTCTGAAAAAGAAATCTAGTCTAACCCTCAGCTTTTTAAGCAGGTTATTGACCTGAAACCCAGTTGATCAGTTTGTACTGCCCTCACTGAGCTCCTGCAAACTTGGGCTGCTGTGCTCTCAGTGTTTTGTCTCCCTGTTCCTGCCTGTTGGCGTCAGCTGATAGAGGTGTTATAGTGCTTTCTTGTTATGCACAATGTTGATTATTCTCTCAGAACTAGCTAAATATATGGGTCTGGGGTAGAGATCTTCAGAATTGGTTTGGCAACCGCTGTGTCACCTGGTGGCAGCGGCACATGTCTTGTCAGTTCTCCGGCCGTTAACTCCAAATAAACCATCAGTGTTTGCCACCAAAGTTCCAGCTCTCCCTGTGTCTCTCTGAGTTTTGTCTCCATTGCTTAAGAAGTTTCCAACACATTACTACTAGCTTTAGGTGCATAGTGCTACATGTTTCTCTACTGTCTGCCTTGGTTAATTTCTCTAGAGGGATATGCAGTGTGTTGTCAGCGGGCTTTCCAAATCTCCATACTTGGCCCTCTTGTTTCGGCCTCTCTGTTGATGTTTTGTGTTCCCCTGCAGGTCCTCCCTCACTGAGCAGGCAGAGAGAGGTGACCGTGCCCCTGCGTCTCCCCAACCTCCTGCATCCGAAAACCACTTCCTGCCCGCCCTCCCTCGTCACCTCCAAGACGCCACAGAGTTCCCCACTCCTCCTCCCACACCCCCGGAGAGACACTCACCTGAAGGAACCCCACCTGCTTCTCCCTGCTTTCCTCCCCCTCCTCCTCCAGCCCTTGCCTCCCCTCCTGTAGCTCCTGTTTCCCAGAGTGAGGGCCCTTGCCCTGCCTCTGAACCCTGCCACCCTACTTTAAGGTATGAACATAAACTCTGCCTGACTGTCAGCTGACTGCACTTTTCTGTGTTTAAAAATGTGTGTCCAATGTGTTTCTTTTATGATCCTGTTTGTAATGCCTCACATACGATTTGTCCCGTGTTAATTATAGTCCCTTTAGCCTGTTTGACGAAAAGTAGCCATGTCCTTATCCTTTCAAGCCCAATTCAGGTCAAATTACAGCATTAAATGGACATCTGGCACACTGAATAACCTGTTTGATGTTCTCAGGGCTTCAGAACAGAGAGAGAGTTTACTGGAAATGCAATCACCCATTAGGTTCCCTTTTTTTTCGTTTCTTTAAGAAATAGTTTGACATTCTAGGAGCTTATGTTTATTTTTTGCAGAGATGGTTGATATCATTCTCAAATTTTAAATGGGAAATCCTAGGGTTTACAGGTGTTTAGCTTAGTTTAACATTTGGACACTTTTCTGTGTGGATGATAGAAACATGATTTACATTTAAGTGAGTTTAAGGTAGCTGGAAGGTGGATTTAATCAGACAGAGCATTGTCATTCATGTCTACTTCAGGAACTCATAGTAAACAGGATTTTCTATGTATGAACTCAGTGGTTGAAAACTCACATGTATAATTGTGGCGCGTTATTGGTATAGCAAAAGCATCAGGATGAAATGTTTACTTGTAGATATTTTTAACATTACAGCATTAACTATAGCACTTACACACCCACAAACACACAATATTTATTACCATTTAAGCTGCTTGTGTATTACACTAGTGACTCATAACACTGATGCTGATGACATTTAAATGTTCTATTTTTGCTATCCACACAGCTTCCCTTCTCATAATAATCAACATTCCTCGAAAATCACACCAGGCTTTGCAATTTATCTCAAATACCTACTTTTAAAGAGTGAATGACTCAGCCACTTTGACAGTGCTTGCACTGTCAGTTACAACCAGCAGAGGGTGTTCTCCCTTCAGAGTGCAGTGTTCATGTTGTAGGGCCAGCCTGTGTCTGCACCCTGCTGTATGAATGCTGCAGGTATAAGAAAGCAGCACAGGGACACACACCTGCTCTCATGTATCTCCCTTAGCATCAGTGTTGTATGGAAACAACTGTTTGGTTTCTGTGTAGATTATACATATTTTGCTTTTGACTTGATACTTTTTGGCTTTCTATTTGCCTCTGTTTCTAAGAGAACACCAGCATTTTGAGAAGGCAAGGCTAGCACATTTTTGTTATATTATTTATGATATCAGAGAGGACTGTTAGGTAGCGGTTAAAGGGGGGGAGCTTTCTTACTGGATTTCACACATTACTCTTGTTGCCTGCAGACACACAGGACCAGCTATGTAATGCGCAGGTGTTAAGTATGGTTTCACTCTTGTTTATTTGTTTTAGAACAAAGCTACATGCAAAACAAAGAGCAGTATAACATCACATTTTTACCATTAATAACGTAATGCATTTCCCGTGGAGCTCCTCGATGATTCATGGTATTAGATTATCTTCCTCAAGGGCACTTCCGCTGGGCAAATGCTTGCCAGCATACGTCCTTGAATCCTCTTTCTAGTTGAAAATTGGCCCTTTTAAAATGTGATAATCAAAACGTTAGTTATCCAAAAACAAACACATACGAAGTGCTGAGTGATTCATTAAGAGTTGCATGAGTAAATTCAATCCCTTTTTATGAGATAAAAACAACTCAAGGTTCTCCTCTGATGTTGATAATGATTCTTAATTATTCATCTATTAGTAACTCCCACACATTTTGAACTTATGCTTTCAGTCATGAACAAAGCCAACAATTGAGGAGCATATCAGATCTGGCTAGATTCACCTTAAAAAAATCAGCTCAACCCATGTCCTTGATTGTGATTATTTATACAGCATTCTCTGTCCTATATTTGACAGTATATAAACCAATGCATTTTAAATATTTAACAAACTAACTCTCTTCACTTGTGCTTGTGACAAACATGTTCTCATTATTATCTCATCGACAACACATGTCAGTAATTAAGATAATTTGTTGATGGGTATCATAAGGTTTCCAATTGAAGTTCCCTGATTACTCCATTGATAGCTATTATCATCGGCTTTGTAGATACAAAGAGAAACAATATCACATGATTTAAAAATGTATTATTTGGATGTACTTTGAATCAGAGATGCCAGCGATTATTCTATTTTTCGAATATTCGTTACAGTCTCCATAATCGAAAATTATTTTTAAAATTCGATTTTATTTCTATACTTTTTTATTATTATTTATGTTTTTCTTTTTTTTCCTGGTTTGTTTCAACCAAAATATATCGGTCTGCGAATAATCGATTAATAATCGCCAGGGCTGTCCGATTTGCGAATTTGATCATGGTCCGTTTCTGGCATCCCTACTTTGAATGCAAACAGATAACGTTTAAGAGTGAATGTTTTTGAGAAACAGCCTCTGGGAATTCATCCCCTCTGGGATTGTTTATGGGAGCGATGCAGCCTTTTCTTGGCAAACAAGGAACAAAGCTCCAGACTCTTACTCTGCCTGATCATCAGATGTTCAGAACTGATCACGGCCCAGGGTGTTGTCATAGATATCTATAATACAAATATCTATAATACAGATAACTATAGAAATAACCAGGATTACTCAAAACATGTCTTTAAACAGTATGCAACTTGCAGAGCTTTTTTAACCACCCACAAAGACCTGTGGATAGATCTTGTGATTGCAGTAGCGTGCAATATTTGTCTTGCTTTTGTTGATGATCTCGGATATTTGAGTTTAGCAGTGCCGAATTAAGGGGCATACTGTCTGTTTTCGTAGTTTAATTGGAGACTTTACCAGTGATTCAGACTCATCATTTAAATGTCTCGACTATCACAACTCATGTTTTACTTTAACAGTACTGAAAATTGAGGTTATATTATTTTGTTTACGGAAATGCTTTACTAAAGAATGTATTGCCAATCTTTCCACTAAGCTTCAATCCACACCCATTACACCACAAATGGTTCCATCACATTCTGCTCTGTCATATTCAATCCCCTGCAGGCTACACATATTTTAAATCTAGTGATTCTGATTCCTTTGGAGCGCTGTTATGAATCTTTCAGAAAGAACTGCCACAGCCATCTCTTCCAGTGCCTGAGTTCGATGAATTTTTTATTTCTTTCTTTTCTTCAGTCTGCAGTTGGAACAGCAGTGCAAGGCCAGACTCTTAAAGTAGCGACACAGAGAGGATGTTATTGTCAGCAATACAATAGGGTAGGAATTTGTACTTCACACTTACATTCTTTGCTGCCCTAGATACATCTTTGGGTTGGTATGGGGGTGGGGATGGCAGAAGAAATCAATATTTTTAGGGGTGTATGTTGGGCGTTGTGAGTGGGCAGCTATTTACTTGTCCCCTTGGGCTGTAAAACATCGACCAACAGGCCCATCCGAGACTAGAACACATCGATATTCTTTGTGAACACAAGTTAATGGACTCCATGTTTACATAAAAACACTGGCCCTTTTTAAATGAGTTGTTAGTCTAGGCATGATCACTGGGTTTAGTGTTCTACATGTTACTGTGGAAGTGGAGATTCTGTGTCTTTAGGCCACAGGCAGAGACACTTCACCTGAAACCTGTGTACAGTAAGTTTGTGCGACTTCAATTGCTCCGGGCTGGATCTGCTATTGTGGCGAGCCCTCATTCCCTCACTTTCCCATGAGTGTACAATGGATTAATTCTTCTCATATTTCCAATGCCTCTCTTTCCCATCGTTCCTTGACTTAGGATGGGAAATTTGAAGAACCTGCTCTTATTTCCATCCCACAGGACGCATTCCCTGCCCCTGTCCCACACACACAGATGTCTAAATGAAAAGAAAAATTGCATGTCTAGACAGAATATCATTATTGCTCTTCTGGTCTTTGATACAATTCATGGTTTGATGAGAGTGCCAGTAAATTAGATCACCAACCATGCATGCTGTCCAGGGATTTAATCCCAGAGACTGAATTCATTTAGAAATGTAGCTTATGTTCATATCTCTTAAGCCACGAATGAAACCTCTGAATTAAGCTTTTATGCGCAAATGTGTGCTTATGTCTAACATGTTGATGTGTTATCATAATTCTTCTTTAACATGTAATATAGGATTTTAAAGTTGGAGTTATTTTGGTCTAATATTGTCTGTTTTGTGAATGTAGACTGGTAGAAAGACTTGCTTGAATGAAGGAGAACACAATAGGGTCAGATTTGAATAGTACACACCAATACTCTATTGGTGTGTATTGGAGATCTATGATCTCAATGGGACCAATCTGGATAAATAAAGGTTTGAAATTAAATGAAATACTCGTTTCTCAGAGTCTATTGTTTACCTCAGGCTTCACTCTGGTTGGCCACGCCGAGTGCTGGAAGCTTCCATTGTGTGAAAAGGAGGCACACACATGACATTTTCACTGTGCAAGTCACTGGGTGAGAGATGGGGGAAGACAGGCAGGCTCGCCATGTACTGTTGCCATAGGAGGGTGTCAGAAGGGGGCCGACAACGTGAAAGAGAAAGCCCCTGTTCGTCAGTGCGGTTTTTGGGGGGTCTGCTATTGTTTGGCTCGTGGTAGCGGATGAGAAAAAAGCTGCTTGTCTTTTTAAAGGCACAGGAGGCTGGAGTCAGGGGAGAGAGTGGAGGGGGAGGAGGCAGTAAGAGCAGCAACACAGCTCAGCAATATCGGAAGCAAAACACAGAGGAGGTACCTCATGCAAGACGGCAAGAAAGCAGGATTGTTATTTCATCCTTTTTGTTTTGGATTATTCTCTTTTTGGCATTTTTACTCTTGGGGATTTTATTCCTTCTGGTGTTGCATCATTTTTACACCAAATGAGGAATATTCCGGGAAGCAGCACCGGCTCAGGGATGCTGTGCAGACAGTGAGGAGCCTTTAATCATCCTCTGCTTTGCTCCTGATGCGAGCGGCTCATCCTCTGCACTGCAGCACAGCAACGCTCAGCCGCCGCTCACCTCCACGGACGCAGGCTGCCTGCCTCCTCGGCAACAACAGCGACAGGAGAGGTTGTTTTGGA